CCAATGGAGAGTCGTTTGGCGAAGTTTTTACTGAGGAATGCAGCGGAGCTTAAGGAGTTCTTGATTTATCAACAGCATATGCGGCATGAGGCAGATCAAGTTAAAAACCAGCTTTTAAAGTGTTCTAGAGGCTCAAGCCATGTATTTATACTGTGCATTTGAAAGTTTTAGTGTCTATTTGCCCACAAAAGAATTCGGGACCTTCAATCAAAATATTGCCATTACAAGATGATAAAGGTCTTGCCTGAGAGATTTGCTAAACTTCGGGTTATCTTCTGGGGCCCATTATTTTTTTTGGTTTATACATCATCAGATTTTCATATTTACCTTCTTCAGTGATCTAGATGTATGTTCCTTACCAAGTATTTTTTTTATTTTTTGGGATAATATCAGAAACCTCCCCTGAGGTTTGTCTTAATATCATCTAGCACTCTTTTAAGGTTTTAAAAAAAATCACTTACCTCCCTCACTTTTGTTATTTGTTTAAAAAAAATTTTAAAAATTATAAACTATCCTTTCACTGGCTAAATAAAAATGTTCCTAAACCACTTTCACTTGAAGAAAAATCATCACCTCAAAAACAATCTTTTGTAGTACTACGACATCATAATGCTATACCCCATAAAAATATAAATTTGAAAAATAAAAAAGAAATTTGAAAAGAAATACACTTGCATCAATTTAACTCTATATGTTCAAAACTGATTTCTTATCAATTTATATTTTTTTCCAACATCTTCTCAACCATTAATCAAATCATTAAACTGTATCAATCATTATGAAAATCAATTCAAAATAAGCAAATAAATCATACTCCACTTAATCATAATCACAAAAAGTAAAAAATAAACAAAATTAAATTTATTATAATTTACAAATAAAATATTACATAGTCATCCAAAAAATGAGTAAGAGAGAATGATGGAGAAAAGAGAAAAAGAAGAAAGTAACTTTCATTTCTTTTTTTTAAAAATTTTTGAGCTCCATTTATTTGATATGTTGTAAATTATGTGTCAAGTGAAGATTAATATAGTCTCTTTATAATTACTAGGAAAGAAAAGTGATATTTCTAAAATCTTAAAAGTATCAAGTGATATTAAAAGAAACCTCAAGGGAGGTTTCTGATATTATACCTTATTTTTTACTGCTTTATGACGTCGTTTGTCTTACCTTTTGTCTCTGTCTCTTTTCATTTTTCTCTTTGCTGTTTTTTGAGTAATGGAATGCACTTTTTTGTCGCGACGGATCTTCTGTGTCAAAGCCTGTCTCACATCCTGTCTCATTCCTTAGGATCTCGTCAAGTGTTCCTTAATAAACCAAACTCTCAAACAACCCAACTCGGACCATATTAAATTAATTAATCGATTAATCGGACAGAAAACTTAAACCCATTCAATCTCTATAACCAAACCGATTAAAATAAAAACTCTTTAACCAAAATCACAATTTATCAAGAAAAAAAACCCTAAAACCAAACAACCTCTGTCCTCTCTCCATCATCTTCACCATTCTCTATAACCAAAACGATTAAAATAAAAACATAATCAATGCATATAAGTAGCTATGTAAGTAGCCATTTTGAGTAATCAAATTGAAGAAAAAAGATACAATGGCGAAGCAGGAGCAGCAGCAATGGAATGCCTGTCGTAATGGTAGTGGGGGAGCGATTGATAATAGCAGTTGTATCAGGTTACACAGGAGCAATGGCAATAGAAATAGCAATGGCAATGGCAAGAGTTTCTCCCTTTTCTTCCCCTCCTCATGTCTACCAAATTGGTTCAAATGTATGCAGACTGCAACAACATAGAGATCGCCCGCCGGTTGTTTGACAAATTGTCTGAACCAAACGTGTTCGCTTGGACTGCTATCATTTCGTTCTACTCGCGAAATGGGACTTTTAACGAGTGTGTATTCACTTACAAAGAAATAAAATTCAAGGGCGTGTTGCCTGATAATTCAAGGGCTTTGCCTATTCGGTATTTTCTCAAATGGAATCGAGGGATTTGGTATCATGGAATACAATGATTCGAGCCTTTGGAATGAATGGCTGCGGCCAAGCAGCTGTTAAACTCCTTGAAGAGGTGTGTAGTTCTGGTGTTAGTCCCAACTCTTTGACATTCTCTTCTGTGCTGCCAGCTTGCAGTCATTCTGGTCTTGTAAACGACGGTCTCAAGATTTTCGACAGGATGTGCACTGATTTTGGCTTCAAACCTCAGACAGGACACTTTACATGTCTTGTTGATTTACTAGCACGGACTGGTCAGCTTGATGATGCTGTTGACTTCATCAGAAAAATGCCTCACGGGCCTGATAAACATAGCTGGGGTTCTATACTTGCTGCCTTTCTAGAACAGCAAAGCATAAGAATTGGAGTCCTGGCTTCAGAGCATCTGGTCAATCTGGAGCCAGAAAATGCTGGACACTACGTGACATTGTCAAATTTATATGCTAAAGCTGGAAGGCCAGATGATGCTGTGAGAGTACGGAGGTTAATGGAAAGCAGAGGATTGGTCAAGCAATTTGGATATAGCAGTGTCAGTTTAGTGGCATCATTCAATTCTCAGAGGGTTTGTTCAAGGCATTATTTCCAGATTCGTACAATCATTTTTATCCAGAGGATTAGTACCTCATTCAGTTTGTTGAAGCTAACTCTCTTAAAAACATATCTAGTTGCTGGAACTTGCCCCATAATGAGGCTACATAAATTTCAATGGTACTGATGTTGTTTGGACTCTGGGAAGTCAAGCAGAGTAAGGAAAATTAAAAGTATATTAAACCAACAAGAAACGTCTTACAGATGCTCAAAATCAACACCAAAATTTTGTGTAAATATTAGGAAAATAATATCCTACCTTTAGTACAAACTTCTCCAAGTTGGGTGAAGCACTTATAAAAGAAATAAATCCAATCAAACTGTCATCTTTTGATGCACAAGCAACTAAGATGAACTGCTTCAAATTAGTTAGTTGAGGAAGATAATTAAGGATTCCTTCTTCCTGGGACTATCAAACAAGAAGTAAAAATCAAGCAAGCCAGGAACACCTGAGAAGTAAATTTACATAATACTCAAATGAAATTCTATCCAAAATTCCTATTAATAAGTTGAGTTAACCTCTGAAATAGCAAGCTTTGACGCATATAAACTAAGAAACTCTAGTTTCGCCAAGCAGCAGAAAATCCCAGAAATAACATTCCTGATTGAGTTACGGAACCACCCAGAGAGTGATACTTCCACAAGCATGGGGACATTCTGAAGAACCACACTATCTACTTCAGTAATTTTAAGAGAGACTAGACTTGTATCCCGGATAGTGATTGATTTTAATGTGAAACACTGGCATATCTCCAGAAATTTCAATGCAAGAGACGGACCACAAACTTCAAAATTTACCAAACTTGAACACTGATGCAACACTAGGCGCTCAAGGAATGGGCAATTGCGTATGAAGCATTCAAGAACATCCCCAGTCACTTTCAGACTTTTCAAGCTCAATGTTCGCAGGGACTTGAAGTCAGTCAGAGAACGAGGATGAATATCACCATAACCAGGTTGAGATTTCTGTGAAGCTTTCCCACTGCCGAAAACCAGGCATCATTCAATTCTCAGAGGGTTTGTTCAAGGCATTATTTCCAGATTCCTACAATTATTTTTATCCAAATTATTTCCTACAATCATTTTTATCCAAATTATTTTCAGTCAACATCCACTAGTATTGGAAATTAAGACGATTTCTTGTATGCATCAAGAATCCAGAGCAGCTCAACTAATATATCTCATCTTCGGAAGCGGAAGTATCCATTACCCAGTACAAATTTACACTAAAACTAAATATATTTCTACCATGAAACAACTGTGAATTTCAGCTCAACTAATATATCTCATCTTCTACAGTTTAGTCAAAAGAATGTTTATTAACAGAAATTTAAACAAAATTATCAAAATCAATTGAAGTATAAGCACAAAGTATTATTCCACTTAAAGGTCTAACTAATCCACGAATGCAATCCCACAGTCTCGTCCTCCATTTCTTCAGAAGCATCTTCATTCAATTTTCCCATTTTCAACAACTTGTTGATCAGAATCATCATTATTTTCAAGTTCTTGTGCCTACAAAAACGGACCCAAAGTTAGCAAATATATTGAATTATAATTGTAAATTATCAAACTAATATATATAAAATTAAATAATTAATCAAGGTTTTTTCTTACTTGGACAAAACTTATTGATGCATGTTGTTGTGCTATTGAACTTGAAGACATCAAATCATAGCCTTGGTAGAAGTTAGGGTCCAACGTCTGCCGAAAAAACAAGAAATAAAAGACCACACATACAAACAAACAGCTATAAACTTGCAAAACTATAATACTTGGAAAAAATTAAGATAAATAAGAAACAACATGCAACTAATGGTTGACATAATATCTACAAAAAACATACTATTCACTTACTTGTAATAATTGTGTCATGTTCTTAGTATTTTGCCTATTGCAGATGCCTTCTATTGGAATTCCAAATTTCTGATATAATTAAAGAGAGACAACCACAAATTAAAAAAATCATTGACAAAATATATCTTCGATGTAGTTTAGTCATCTAAGAACAAAATATTCAAATACAAATTTAGAATGAATTACATATCTACTATACTAAACAAGAGAAAAATGACGAATAACTAAACCTGTTGTGGTGGTAATTCTCGAACAAAACCTTGAATTGTAGAAGAATCCATCCTTGAATGAATAACATTATTTCCAGATTCCTACAATCATTTTTATCCAAATTATAAATAAAGATCCCAATACTATTTCCATGCTCATCATTCATCATAGAACTAAGGAACCAAAAAAAAAGTAATAAATTGTCAAAAGTAATAAAAAGTAATAAAAGTCAAACAATAAAATAGCATTGTTCACATAAACTAAATAAATTATCAAACCTGTAATCTTTTTGATGAGGACTTCTCTTTCACCTTGTACTTTCGTTTCTTTATAGCCATTTCTAGTGCACTTTTGGTCTCTTGCTTGACTTGTAAGTGACTATTTCTTTCACTTTGATGCCTTTTATTTTACTACAGTCGATTTCGGATGGATTAGTATCAACATCTTGATACACACTTTCCCTTTCTTCAATACACACTTCTTTCATTTTCTTTTTCCCTTGACAACATGCATCCATTTGCTCTAACATTTTCCAAAATCCATCTTTAGCAATTTTATAAGCTTCATCACATTCAGAAGCTTTTGTCATCAGCTGCATATATAGATAGGATAACTCTTTGTAATGAAAACTCAATTTTGCCTTTGACTCCATTTCCTGGCTACTTTCACTGGAAACACATACATTTCCTATTTTAGCTGCTTTAGTCCATCTCTTCAATATATATGCATCAGGAATTGTTACAATATTCAGAGTCATCAATATTTTTAGTGCATGTGAACACAAAAATCCAGCAAATTCAAATTTCTTACAACTACATGAAATTGAATTCTTGGACGAATCATAAGTTACGAGGTGATGGGAAGTCTTACCATATGGTGTAACTCGATAAATCACTTGATTTCCTAATTCACCATCTACTTCCCATTTACAATCAATTCCTTTGCATAACTCGTCCTTAAATTTTTCATAAACTTCATGTGTATATATACTCGCCGCATGCTGTAAAATCTTACAAGGGAATGTCACTGCCGGTGTACTTTGATTGCCTCTAAAATCTGCTACGGATTCATCATAGCGACGATCATCTAACAGCCTTTGGAAGTGTTCAAAAAATTCAAGTAAGTCATGTTTATAACTTACATACTTCTTTATAACACTGTTCATGGATTCACTTCGTTGGGTCGTGGTCATATCGGCACAGAATGTTTCTCTCCCATACACTAAAGCCCATTTCTCCTTTATATCAAACATTTTCTTCAACCACTTGTTGTCTTCCAGACCATACATTTTTAACATTTCACTCCATCCCTCTAAAAAATCATTCTCATTTTCATAGTCATATATGCAGTGACTAAAATTAGCAGCAAAATTTTGAAAATCTTTGAAGACATTAGCTAGATGAGTTGTTGCATTTTGATAGATATGCCATATACATAAGCGGTGATACGTTGTTGGCCATTGAGAAGCCAAAGCCGTTGCCATTCTTCCGTCTTGGTCTGTAAGAATAGTTTTTGGTATTTTTCCCATCATGGCCTTAGCAAATGTGTCAAACAGCCATTCAAATGTTCCAATTGTCTCATCATATAATAAAGCACCTCCAAAAACTATAGTTTGTTTATGATGATTTACACCAACGAATAATGCAATTGGCCTCCCATCTTTGTGTTTTCTATAAGTTGTATCGAAACATACCACATCACCAAAATGAGCAAAATCCGTTCTCATCTTTGCATCAGCCCAAAATGTGTTAGTTATCAAGTCATCTTCATCTACTTGAATGGCATAATAAAAATTTGGGTCCTCTAATTGCATCCTTTGTAAGTACTCTAAGACTCCTCCTGTGTCACCTTGCATCATTGGTATGGATCTTTTCGATCGTAAGTAGTTTTTTAAATCATCTCAAATGAATCCAAGATTTTCTCGTCCACCAACTTGTTTCGACATCAGTTCAATTGATTGTTTTGGTGCAATTCCACAACTTCGGGCCATATCTATTTCAACTTCATGTGCCATTGTCATGTGTCTATGAGATCTAAATAAATGGGTTTTGCTCGGAGTTGATAGCTCATGATTATGTTGTGCAACAAATTGCACAACACGGTATTTTCCAGCTTGTCTACAACTAATTTTCATCCTTGCACCACAATCACATCTTGTTTCTGGACACGGATACTTAACAATCATATTGCGTTTGTCTTTTGGCCTTTTTCCTTCACGGGAGCAGCAAAAAACCCTGTCCAACATCATATCACTATTTTTGTATTTATGTCCCTTACTCAATCGAGTTCCAAACCCAGATGCTTTGGCATATTTTTGGTAAAAATTTCTAGCTGCTACTTCAGTATCAAATTCCATGCCAAGTTTCGGGACCAAGTCATCTGGTATAGCCAAAGGAAGAAAAATTTGATTTCCTTGATTGCCATCAGTAATATAAAGAGGTACGGCATTATCATTTATCTCCTGCCAGTCAACATCTTCAAAGTCCAATTTACGACATGATTGGATTTCATCAGTCGGCAAATTATTCTCCATATCTTTCCAATCACAAAGGCGTAAAGCAACATAAGAAATCTATACCCCAAATGAAATATGCAAAATTCTATTTAACACTTGAAAAATATGGATCGTACAAATATAAGGATCTTGAAATTCCTAATTATGAACCAACAAATGGAAGCTCTTTTTTTCTGTGTAATTTAGTAATTCACAAATAATTTTTAAGAAAAGAAATGGTTGATCATATTAAACTAAGAGCTCTATCATATTGTTCATGTACAGATCCACAAAATTTCTCAAACTGGAATAAAACCAATACTATTCCTCCATCAATTTCAGCAAAGGAAGAACATTACAGCCCTATTTGCATGAATACAAATTCCAAGAAAAAAGTTGCCATGTTTGTTCCTAAACAACAGCTAGGAATAAAAAGAAAAAATGTCACAATGCAAAGATCCAAGAAAAAGTGGAGAAAATTTTGAACAAAACCAACATATTCACAACTGCTATGTTCTTTTTATATTTTGACATCTACTCCTGAGGTTACATAACCTTTGTAATTTTTGAGAATAATGCAGCCACAGGAAAAAGGGAAATCAAAAACACAAAAAGTAAAAAAAAAAAATCCCAATAGGGCAGCTGTGTCAGGTTACTGGAAGGCCACTTGGAATGGACAAGTCTATGTACAGTGGATCTAAATATGTTGGGGTCAAGAAAGCACTTGTTTTCTACCAGGGCAGACCTCCAAAGGGTATTAAGACTGATTGGATCATTTTGAATATCGCTTGAGTGAATCAAGATCTCAACCTAACAAGCAAAATGATTCCATGAGGGTAACCTAACAATTATGCAATGTAGTTAGATGTAGTGGTATCATTAATTATGTGGTCTTGGCTTTTCTTCAAGGTGCTTAATTGCAATTGTAATCGATAGTTAAGCCCTTCAAAAACCGAAGTTAAAGTCATTGTCTTGTAACATTAGATCATTTTTACATGAATTTTCACTATTCTACTAAAATTCAACAACATTTCTCTTTTGTATTTCAATTCAGAAGGAAAATTCAACAGAAAATCTAGGCAACCGTTTATCAGTATATTTAAACACATAAGTTTGCATAGAAATCAGACAAAATGTAGAAATACTGAACGAATAGATACTTCAAAAAAGTGTGGAATATGGATGCACAGGAAAATCATAGACCAAACAGATAGTACACAAATTGCCTTCAGATTTGCTAAACTATGAAGAGAGCAATAACAATTTCCAACCTTGCCTTTTTGTATGTTTGTTGCAGCCGGAATTATTGACTGGGTTCTTTGCAGAATTTATAAGAAGAAAAATTTTGGAAAAGCCCTTGATATCAAAGTTGAAGATCAAAGTACCGAGACTGTGACAACGGCTGATGCGGCTAGTTGTGAACCACAGCAAACACAGTTGTCGAAATTCCCAAGGATTTGCTCGCTATCTCATCTATGGGAAATGGAGTGCACGGGCACAATTTCACAGCTATTCGGAGACAATTCTTATAATGCAGTCTGCGATAATCAAAACATAGTTAACAGCAATGGAAATCATGTTTCAAGACAATTAGGAGAAGTCCTACATCAGTTCCAGGGAAATCATGTTTCAAGACAATTAGGAGAAGTCCCACAACTATTTACGTGTGCTTTCGTGAAGCATACTACTAAAGCATAAAAGCCAAAAACTAAAGCATAGAAGCATATTACTCACAATGCGGGAGTGTTTGTGGGCGTCAGTTGTAAATTGCGCAACGGATCATCAAGGTATTTGTTTGAATGGTAAAGATGATGAAGAGAGGACAGAGGTTGTTTGGTTTTAGGGTTTTTTTTCTTGATAAATTGTGATTTTGGTTAAAGAGTTTTTATTTTAATCGGTTTGGTTATAGAGATTGAATGGGTTTAAGTTTTCTGTCCGATTAATCGATTAATTAATTTAATATGGTCCGAGTTGGGTTGTTTGAGAGTTTGGTTTATTAAGGGACACTTGACGAGATCCTAAAGAGTGGGACAGGATGTGAGATAGGGTTTGGTACAGAAGATCCGTTGCACTTTTTTTTCCATGCTAAGTGTTGATAAGATACTAATCAGTAACAAACGTCCATGAAGTTATTGGATAATTTCTTTTCTGGTTCAAACATAATCTCTGATCTTGGACCAAGCAACTTTTTGGGCCCAAATTTACTGGTCCAAAATGGTTACCCCAAGTTACAAAGTAACCCATGAACCCAAGTTCTTAACCATTTCTTTCTTTTACATTCTCTTCACCTTTAAACCTTTGCATCGTCACAAACACTTGCATTTCCTTGCATAGTTGGAATCATAACACGCTGGTTTCAACACTTTCTTGCATAATAGTAAGATTGCAAATAGATCGAACAGTTCGAATCCAAACTCTACTCGAGCTCAGTTAACATCGAGGTCGAGCTCAAAGATACTCAATCCGTTAGCTTGCGAGCCAACTCGATTATATATTTTTTATTTTTTATTTTAATAGTAAAATTACATATATATATTCCTAATGTTTTATTATTTGATAAGAAAATTTATTTTTAATTTTTTAAAAATAAAATAATTATTTTTATTTTTTTTAAACTCGAGCTCAAGTTCGATCTTGACTCGATCTTTACATTGAGAGCTCGTCAAATTTGGATTTGAGTTCGAGGTTAATAAAATTAAGTCGAGACTCAATACAATTAGATCAAAATTCGACTCAATTCGACTTGTTTGCAACTCTGATAATCAGAAGCATAACCCGTTTGTCTGAGGCTCACTCTGTTCAGAGATCACACGAGATTCACTCTGATACCAACTATCACGATCCAAGTTTAAGAGCTAGCCTAAGTAACTTTTTCAACCGAAATTCACTGGCCTAAAATGGTTAACCCAATTACAAAGCAACTCATAAGCCTAAGTTCTTAAACCATTCCTTACTTTTTGCAATTTTTCCAACCTAAGTTCTTAAACTATTCCTTTCTTTTGCAATTTTTCCAACGTGGGATGCTACGTTACGGAGAAAAAGGAGAAAAGAGAAATGAATGGTTTGAACGTCGAAGTAAGAACCTCAGGGATATCCCTGCCAATCAAGTCTTAAGAAACAATTGCTGGTAATTTTACATCAAAAATAGTAATCGTCAATAATATTCGGGAATTTAATGGTGAAAATTAATCAACAGAATGTTCATGTACAAAATGGTTTTGAAACTATATAGCTTCTTACCTTTGCTGTAATGAAATACACTTGCATTCAAATGCTCCGAACAGGCTGTCCGTTAACTAGGATACCTATTGGATTGGATGAGGTACATTTCCATTCAAAGGCTCCATATAGGCTGTCAACTAGGATTAGATACCTATTAGATTGGCTGAGGATCGGAGCTGAAAAGGTTGAGGATGATCCATGTGAAAGCATATATTTTATGTAAATAGTTGATAGGTTGCAATTTTATTATTTATTTTATTATTAATTTTTCCTATTACCTGACCTGATGTGAATTAATTATTAGATTCTACTCCCTTTTCGTAATTTGCATTTATTTCAGGGAGTAGAACGAAAATACCACAACCAATGCCAATTTAGCAATCATCAGGAAAGAGTTCAAGTAGCAGGGGCATTTTTGGAATATCAAGTCGTGACCCCTCTCTGGTAATTTGCGGAAAACAGCATAAAAGAAGGAAAAGGAACGCAGGGCAGATGGGGGCTTCTTCCTCTCTGGAAGGAGAGCCGCCGCACAGTGGATCAGAGGCTACTAGATACGAAGTAGAAATTGCAGAGGAAAAGGAATAGCTTTAGCTTAGTTTTTGATTCTTGTCTCCTTTAGCTTCACTGTGACTTTTCTTCTTAGCTTTTAGTTGCTTTTCTCCACGCATGTCAGGAGGAATGAAGCATCAGCCTTTGACTTTTCCTTTGTAACTTTTGGTTGCTTTTCTTCCTCCGTATGTGTAGACAAGCTCTTGTTTCAATTTTACGTGGGCTCTGTTCACCAAGAATGAACTAATTTCCTTTGTCTAGTCAAGGAACAACGGATGCTTTGGGTCGCCTAAAATTGTGAAATTGATTTAATTTCATCTTTTTCTTTTATTTATTGGTATTCGCATATTCCTTGATTGTAGTGCTTATGATTATTTAATTAATTGATTGTCTTGGATCCAGATAATTAGTTAATTTGATAATCTATTGTCAATTAGGGTGTTAAATCCGTAATTATTTAATTGCCCTGAAATAGTGACAGCTGGCATGATTGGATTTGTGTCAGGGGAATACGCGAGCTAATTTAAAATAACCCTGGTAGTGCGTTATTTGGTTAGAATAAGGCTCCTCTAATACGTAAGGCAATTGGAAAATTAAATCTTATGAGCGTACCTAGGATTATTTCTCAATTAGAGCTGTGATTAACGGGCGTACCTTAATCACCGACACAGTAAGAAGGGGTTGACTGTCATCGCTTGTTTGACAGTTATAACCTATTTATTAGTAAATAATTGGAATTGGCTTTGCATCGATGATCAATTAGGTGAACCATTGATGAAGTTATTTCTTGGCTAGATCCTTAATTATCACTCATTTGATTTTAGTAAATTGTCATTTAATTTCTAGTTGGCTATTTTATTTTTATTATTTAGTAAATTGTCACCCCTGATATAAAAACACCTCCCTTGTCACTGTGAATTTGAAAAGAAACAATTACTCCCAATCCCTGTGGATTCGACCCTGCTCACCGCTATCTACAGAAATTACTTTTAGTTTGAGCAGGTTTTTATTATTACACAGGTTTCGACAACCTGTCAATTTTTGGCGCCATTGCCGGGGACTGGTGTCAAATTAATTTGTTTCCTTTTAAGTTCATCTTGTTTTCATTTATTATTATTTTTTTCTCTTATTTTTTTATATAGTTTATGGCTGCTAACTTTCCATATTTTGATGATAGATTAGACTTTATTGCTGAATAGGGTTATGAGACTCATGTTTTTTCTAATGATCAATGGGCTGTTACAAATTGTGAAACTTATTTTGCCTCAAGTTATTCAACGGACACATGTCCCGCATTTCAAGATCATCTAAGTGTTCCAATTGATACTTTTGGAGATTTTTCACCTCGATTTCAAACGTGGTATGACCCTTATCCAAACAGGTATGATCAAAGATGGTGGGATAATTCCAATTTTAATTATGCGACCGGGCCAATGAATTTTCAACAGCAAGAGTCTCAGCAATCACCCTCCGTATCAGGTATGTCTCTTGAAGAAATGATGGAATTACTAACTGCTAATTCGTATCGATCTCAACAGGAGTTACAAGCGATGGCGGATCAAATGAATCAATTGACATCCAGGATAGCGCGATTAGCTTCTCACCTTAAAGAATTGCCCTCACAAACCAATATCAACCTTGAAGAAGATGAGAGTGCAGCTATCCGGCCAAATGCCATGGAACTTCAAGAGTTTCAAGGTAATAGATCTAAAGATGCAGTTGAAAAGGAAAGTGAAGTGCAAGAAATGAGACCCCAATAACAATTCGTCCAAGTGAATGAATCTAGTGTACAATCTCCAAATGCGGTGATATCATCTCCATTCCTTAATCAATATTTTCCTGACTCCTATTCTTCAACTCCTGTTACTGAAATTGATTTTATTATACCAGAAAATTTGAAATTTCATGACAGAAATAAGTTAAGAGTAGAGATGGCAAAATATCTTGAACCGATAAATGCGTGTGATGGAGGAGTGAGTGGAGAATGCAAATTATCGTTGACTTGTTTGGCGCCATTTACTAGTCCATGGAAGCCCGTAACTCGTGTGCTCAAGAATTACTCTATTTACGAGGGCTATCAGGACTATATAGAGGATGAAGCATTAAAACGAGCCACAAGATTTTATCCTCCATGAACAAAACATGATAATGTCTAGCCAAAAACATTAAAGAAAGGCACTCATTGGAAGGCAACCAAATTTCTTTTAGTTGTTTGTTCAATTTTGTTTGTTAGTTTAAATATGTTTTTCTTGAGTTTGACTGATTTCTGGTTTCAATTTTCATTTTTTATGATTCATAGGTATCTCTCTGACATGACGCGCCTGCGTCATGACGTATGAGGAGCTCATAGTCAGATTCGTCAGAAAGGGTTCTTACCCTCTTGACGTGCCCGCGTCAAGTAACCTGGAAAGCTCCAGATTCCGTGCCTTCATGACGTGCCCGCGTCACGTTCGCGGGAAAGGTAAGTATTCAAAAAAACTCAAGAACGATTATTGATTTTCTGTTAATCCCTACTTTTGAAGTTCAAAAATAAATTTTGTCAATAATAATAATAAAAAAAAGATGATATATGTAAAAAAAATTCAAAAAACAAAATTTTCAAGTAAGTAACAAGGAGAAAAAATAAGGAGTTTTTTCGTAAAAACAAAAAAAAAATTCTAAAATGAAAAAAAAAACAAAAAACAAAAAAAAAACACAAATACTATTTTCTTTTTCCTTCTTTTCTTTTCTTTCTTTTTCTTTCTTTCTTCTTCTTCTTTCTTCTTTCCTTCTTCTCCCCTGCTCTCCCTCTATCCGCTGCTCCCTGCTTACCGCCGCACTACCATTAGCTCCACCTCTAGCTCGCTTCTCCCTCTCTTGATCTCATCAGTCCTGCCGGCCCAAGCTCCTCCACATTCACGCGTCTCTCACCGCAGCCTCCCCTACTCGCGCTCGTCCTTGACGCGCGACGCCGCCGACCCTTGCTTCAACGCCACCACCGGCTCATCTTTCTCCTGTTGCTGCCCAAACCGTAGCTCCTTCGCCATCCAGTCCGCCCCAGCGCTCGACAGCTATTCCGCACGCTGCTCTTCTGGCCATCTCTCTCTCTCCCCTTGATCCACAGCAGTGCGCCATAGCCTCCCTCATAGCCCTCCACTGCCGCCCGCTATGCGTCGCCCTCAGCGCCGCCCCCGCTGTTCTTTCTCTCTCACTGACCGTGGCCAGCAACACCGTCGTCCCACCGCTGCCAACCGCGGCCCATCCTCGCCGCATCTCCTCTCCCTCTCTGCTCACCTAACCACTGCCGCTCTCACGCACGCACGCTAGCAGTTCGTGCCAGTCCCACCTTCTTCGACCATCAAACAATAGAGGTATTTGACATTCGTTCCCCAACTCCTCGGTAGTATTTGGTGTTGTTTGGGGTCGTCTTTTGTTTGGGTGGGACGCGGAGTTGTTTTTCCTTCACTGAGGAGTCCACTGGTGGTACTGGTGGGGTAAATTGGACTTGAATTTGGTTCCTCTATTTGGCTGTCTGAGTTATTATTGCCAAATTTCTAAACTGTTATCGTTGAGATTGCTAATCTTGAGTTAAGAAATTGACTGGCCAATTGGAGCCATTTGTTGCAATTCTGGGTGGGATGAAATTTTGCAATTGTCTATTGATCATTGGAAGGCATCTCTGCTAGTGTTTCGATTACTGAGGTTTTGGTTAAATTATTTTTGATATTGCCTATTGAATCGGGAGCCTGTGCCGCTTAATTTGCCCTGTTAGGAGCTGGTTTGCTTGTTCGAATTTTCTGTGATGGTTGACTAACGTGTTCATCTTAGTGACTTCAACTGTTTCGTCGGGTGGAAGTGAATTCTGTGTGGTGAACCATTAGGTCGTTGAGATAATTTCACTTGCTTTTGTGGTGGATGCCTAATTGCCAGTTGAGGGTATATATTGAGTCGTTATTGCCGAATTACTGCACTACTGTTGCCTGACTTGTTGACTTGTTGACTGCTGGGGGCAATTGTTGAGCTTTTGGGTGCTATTGTTGAGTTTTTGGGTGGGTTGGAATTTTGCAATTATTGATAACTGAGAGACATTATTAGCAATTGCTCTGCTCTGATATTGCTCCGTTGGTGGCACATTCTCTTTCTTGTGACTAGATTAATACTTGGGGCTATTGCTTTACTACTGATCTGCTCTGCTATAGAAATCTCATTGATTTTGGACTGCGATTTGCACCAATGGTAAGGGTGCGAGTACTTGTTAACTCTATTTGGTTAGAGATCTGATTGACTGCCAAGGGCTTGTAACTGCGCTGCTATTACTAAAGTCCTGAATTGATATTGCTGGGTTTAGCACATTATTGGAGACTTTGTTGAGATTTTGGATACACAGAGTTGTGCATTTGCTGGTTGAATTGATGTCTCACCACATCGATTCCCCTCCGCCGTTCCCGCCTACCCCTTAGCCACTCGAGAAGGAAGTTTCGTTGTTTTTTTCACTTTAATTGTTTTATTTCCTCCATTGAGGACAATGTAGGATCTAGGTGTGGGGGGAGGGACAGCTATGCCAGTTTTTAGTTTTCAGACGTCCTTCTTTTATTTCTAATTTGTTATTTGTCAAGTCTTCGTTTACTCTTTTTTTTTTAATGAATACCAAAGTTTGATGTTGGATTGTTGTCTCTAATTCTGTTATTGCCAAGTTTTAATAATAAAAGGGTATCAAGTTAATGTGGTTAGTACAAAAACATCTCTTTGGTGAATATCGATGATTGTCTTACTCTTATAATTTTTGGTTAACTTTTCTAGACATAGGGAATGATTGTTGGCATTTTCATGTGAATTGGTCCGGTTATTAACCTTGGTTTTCCATATTTGAAAATGAGGCTAGCGGCTGCAAATTTTCTTTTGATTTTTGTGTTATTTTGAATTTTTAGTGCTATTTGGCTGTGAATAAGAGTTGACTGTACTCCGCTAGTATTTACTACAGAGTAACCGGGAATTTTCACCAAAAGTGTCGATTCTCGCTTCAAAAAGTAGTAATTGCTATGAGTGCGTGGTCACGTGGCGATAGAAGCTGAATAATCGGGTTCTTTCATCTAACAAATGTCAGAGTTAGCGTCAAAAGGCTCCAATGGCTAGCGACTAAGTCTTTTGTACTATTGAGAAAAGCAAAAAAAAAAAAAAAAAAGAGAAAAAAGAAAGAAAAATGTGAAAAAAAGTGAAGGTTGTGTTAGTGTAAAATAAAAGTCAGCTTGCCGATTTATGGATTTAATGTTGAGATTTTGGTTAATAGTTGGACCATTTGCTGATAAATATTGTGTGTCATTCCTTTTTCTTAGATTAGTTAACCTGAAATTAGAGGAGTTTGTGGTTTAGAAACTAACCGGAGTGATGTTTCTTGGACTTGACCACTGATGCTTGATTATTATTTTTCTTGGTTTCTTGGCAATTTGTTGGATAGAGCAATAGCCACTATCAAATATTGGTGTTTGTTTGTTGTTCTTATACTTGAGGACAAGCATGGTTTAGGTGTGGGGGGAATTGATAGGTTGCAATTTTATCATTTATTTTATTATTAATTTTTCCTATTACCTGACCTGATGTGAATTAATTATTAGATTCTACTCACTTTTCGTAATTTGCATTTATTTTAGGGAGTAGAACGAAAATACCACAACCAAGGCCAATTTAGCAATCATCAGGAAAGAGTTCAAGTAGCAGGGGCATTTTTGGAATATCAAGCCCTGACCCCTCTCTGGTAATTTGCGAAAAATAGCATAAAAGAAGGAAAAGGAACGCAGGGCAGAGGGGGGCTTCTTCCTCTCCGGAAGGAGAGCCGCCGCACAGTGGATCAGAGGCTACTAGATACGAAGTAGAAATTGCAGAGGAAAAGGAATAGCTTTAGCTTAGCTTTTGATTCTTGTCTCCTTTAGCTTCACTGTGACTTTTCTTCTTAGCTTTTAGTTGCTTTTCTCCACGCATGTCAAGAGGAATGAAGCATCAGCCTTTGACTTTTCCTTTGTAACTTTTGGTTGGTTTTCTTCCTCCGTATGTGTAGACAAGCTCTTGTTTCAAATTTGCGTGGGCTCTGTTCACCAAGAGTGAACTAATTTCCTTTGTCTAGTCAAGGGACAACGGATGCTTTGGGTCGCCTAAAATTGTGAGATCAATTTAATTTCATCTTTTTCTTTTATTTATTGGTATTTGCATATTTCTTGATTGTAGTGCTTATGATTATTTAATTAATTGATTGTCTTGGATCCGGATAATTAGTTAATTTGATAATCTATTGTCAATTAGGGTGTTAAATTCGTAATTGTTTAATTGCCCTGAAATAGTGACAGCTGGCATGATTGGGTTTGTGTCAGGGGAATACGCGAACTAACATAAAATAACCCTGATAGTGCGTTATTTGGTTAGAATAGGGCTCCTCTAATATGTAAGGCAATTGAAAAATTAAATCTTATGAGCGTACTTAGGATTATTTCTCAATTAGAGCAGTGATTAACGGACGTACCTTAATCACCGACACAGTAAGGAGGGGTTGACTGTCATCGCTTGTTTGACAGTTATAACCTATTTATTAGTAAATAATTGGAATTGGCTTTGCATCGATGATCAATTAGGTGAACCATTGTTGAAGTTATTTCTTGGCTAGATCCTTAATTATCACTCATTTGATTTTAGTAAATTGTCATTTAATTTCTAGGTGGCTATTTTATTTTTATTATTTAGTAAATTGTCACCCCTGATATAAAAACACCCTCTTGTCACTGTGAATTTGAAAAGAAACAATTACTCCCAATCCCTGTGGATTCGATCCTACTCACCGCTATCTACAGAAATTAATTTTAGTTTGACCAGGTTTTTATTATTGAACAGGGTTCGACAACCTGTCAATAGTTTTACGGCTGAGCCAAATAATCATTAAAGCGAAATTAGGAATTTAAGAATTTTTGTAACGAAGTACCTAACACAATTAACATTTATTTAACTTATTATATATATACTAATAATTACTATTCTTTATATTTATATATTTTCTTTATTTAATTTTATCTACTGTCCTTTATATTTATTTATTTTTTAATTAATTTTACATTTTTTAAAAATAACACTTAAATTATATTTTAACAAATAGCTTGTGTACACTAATTAGACAAACTCGAGATTTAAAATAGTTTCACATAGGTGATTTGATATGATGGCTATGGACTAGTGCTCATATGCCATTTCTTTCTTTTCCTCGTTTCTAACGTGGAACATACAAGTTATAGGGGTGATCTCCACCCTACGCGTTGCACTTAGCCCTATGTATTGGGTTAATTTCTCAGATTATATGTAAAAAAAAAAAAACTTCGCACAAATGTACGCCTGATAGACTCTGTTTCTAATTCTATACCTGCCGTACTGAGTCAGCACGGCAGCGGAATAGATTGTCAGAGCCCTCGGCCCCTTTGCAACAAGTTCAGTGCACTAAGCGGCCCACCTTTTTTTTTTTTAATAACGCTGTCCCCAGCCGTGCTGACTGGACACGGCTGGGGACACCAAGTTAAAAAAAAAAAGCGCTTTGTCAGCCTTTGTCCAATGCACCCCCAACCCGGTATTTTTAATTCTAATGGCCAAAATGCAAATGCTGCAAAATCTATTTTTTTTAACTAATCTTTTATTCATACTCTACTCAAATTTAGGCTATTTAGACAACCAAAGTGATTTACAAATCTGCAAACAAAAGAGTATTCATACTAGTTTTATAGGTAGACTTAAATTAAATCGGATCCCAAACAAATTTACTTAAACCCCAATTTATACCTGAAAAGTCAGAATTAATTCACCAACATACAGATTAACATCATAAAGAAAGGCCAGGACTCAAAAATGAGAAATTATATCCATTTTTTACAAATGTTGACGCCCTAGCATAATTATGTACGAGTTAGGGGACAAATTATAAATATAAATTATGGACTTAGATAAAAATCAGTGAGTATAAGAACACAATAAAGTTTTTACAAAATTATATCCATTTGGCAGATGTTTTTTTTTACCTATAAATATATATTAATATTATGTATAAATATATTAATATAATTAATATAAATGTATAAATATATTAATATTATGTATAAATATTAGGTATATTAATATAAATGTATAAATGTATTATATTATATATAATACATAATATAAATGTATATTATAAATATACATTAATATATATATAATGTATAAATGTACATTTATATAATTGTTTTATGGTTCCTCTTAGGCTTGTCGTAGAGAATACGAAGTCTTATCGTGCTACTTTTTTTTTCGTTAGAGACAAAATAAAAAACAGGAAAAAGTAGAAGAGTGATGGAGTTCACAGACAATAAGGATTCCAACTCCAGACGCTCTCCTTAAGTCACATTTAGTACTTTCCAAAGAAGAGCATAAAATACAAACTACAAACGGGGAAAGTAAATACGGGGTCAACTCAAGCTTTGGTTGCCAAGCTAATGCTAACCCACCAGCACCAGGATTCAATTTCCGTATAATCCAATGGGTACAATGCCGTTAGTCCTGTCAGTGGGAGCCGTGCACAGTCAGCACGGCTAGGACTGACACAGAAGCATTGCTATCAGCGTTGTGTCAGTTAGAGCCGTACACAGTCAGCAAAAGTCAAAAAACTGTCAGTGCGTTCAGCCTTGTGTCAGTCAGAGCCGTGCACAGTCAGCATGGCTCGGACTGACGCAGAAGCATTGCTATCGCGTTGTGTCAGTTGGAGCCGTGCACAGTCAGCACGACTCTGACTGACACAAGGCTGAACGCACTGACAGTTTTTTTATTTTTGCGAAATTTAATTTTGGTGCCGTGTTGAATCAGCACGGCACGTATAGAATAAGAACAAACCCGTGTCAGAGGTGCATTTGGCGGATGTTTTTTTTTTTGACCTATAATCTAAGCAATTAGCCCATGTATTGTTGGAATTACAACGGCTCCAGATGCACCTTTCTCAATGTAATATAATCAATGCCCCATTTCCAATTATATAAAACCTGTGTCACAGTAGAATGCATAGATTTTTCTAAGTCCCGTTTGGCAAGTGAATTTTTTGAATGTTTGTCTAAAATTTTACTGTAACTTACTATAGAAATTTTTTAAAAAATTTTTGAAATGTGTTTTTTTTTAATATTTTGAAGTGTATAGTTTAAAAATTTTGAGAAGTTTTTTGAGGTTACTGTAGTTAAAATTTTTAAAAAATTTGTAGTAGAGAAATTTGGCAAAAAACTTGTCTGCCAAACAAGGCTGTAATCAAGTTTAATCAAGACTCGAGCTCGAGTATTGCTATATCCGAACTCGATTCGATATACAAGAAGAATACTCGAGCCAGTAGCATTATTACTCGAGTTCAAATTTGATGCATTATTTATAGAATTCGAACTCGACTCACATGGCTTCGAGTCAAAACGAGATTTATTGAGTTCGAGTCAAGAAATTTTTAAAAAATTTGTAGTAGAGAAATTTGGCAAAAAACTTGTCTGCCAAACAAGGCTGTAATCAAGTTTAATCAAGACTCGAGCTCGAGTATTGCTATATCCGAACTCGATTCGATATACAAGAAGAATACTCGAGCCAGTAGCATTATTACTCGAGTTCAAATTTGATGCATTATTTATAGAATTCGAACTCGACTCACATGGCTTCGAGTCAAAACGAGATTTATTGAGTTCGAGTCAAGAAGATTTGAATGTTTCATTTTTTGACAATTTTTAAGTGAAAAGACATTATTGCACTTAAAAAAATTTCATACAATTTAAAATATTTTATAAATTCAATCACTCTTGTAAACACAAAGATAATTTTATAATAATAATATATTAAAAAATTATAATTAAAAAATTCAATAAAGCTCGATGAGCTTTCTACTCTTGCTATTAGATTTGAATATTCAGACTCGACTCACGAGTTTTTGACCGAGCCGCTGGTTCTAGATTTTTCCGATATCATTTTCCCAAATTATTTCTATTCAATCACTCGCTCCCCGGTATTAATTTTGAAATGACCCTCAGAATAGTTTCTGAAATTTTAAATTGCTAAATTGCCCTTTTATTCAAACACTAATTTATGGGTTTTTTTAGTCATTTCAATGCTGTAAAGATAGCAAGTAAAACAGTCTAAAATTAGAGTACTTTTTTTTTTTTTTTGCACTAGAGAGATTTTCATTCATTACATTTGCAATTTAGGAATTTAGGAGGTCACACGGACTTCCCATTTTCCCTGAAAGAGTAAAGCTCAATACAGTAAAAACATAAGGTAAGATATGATCCTCTTCTGTTGCTACATTTTTCCTGTTTTCTGGTTTGATTGAAGTCTCTGTATGTCATATTTTGTATGGAAGCAGTTGGATTTTTGTGGGTTCCTCTTATTTTTCGATAGTTGGTTAATTGTGGCTCAATGACGCTCTGATTCTTGGATTTGTTCATTTTTTGTTTGGTTAATTCATTCACTTACAGTTTTGAAATTTGTTCTAGTTCCTTCGTTTTCTAAAAAAGAAATTTAAAGTGGTTAGAAATTTTACGTTGCAGGGTTTTGATCTGTCTCGAGTTCTGTTTCGTTGTTGAATTTTAATTAATTGAAGTCGATGTGTTTTTGTTTCTCGTAGTAGAATAATTTGATTATGGTCCATAATTCCTTCCCGATGTTCATGTGCTTTCTCAGTTACTTGGCTGACAGTTTGGTCTAGTTTGGGGGATTAGGGGATGAAAATCAGCAGAAAACTTGAGTTAGTAGAGAAAAAGGAAAGATTCTAAACTTGGCAAGTTTCTTGCCTTTTGTTTGAGAGTTTGGGAATGAAACGGAATGATATCCAATTTGTTGAGTATTGCTATTAGTCTACTTTACATTTCACGTGTATTATTCATTGAGTATAATTAATTTAGGCAAAATGGGTGACTAGAAAGGTTTACTAAGCTTTCATTTCACTTTCCTTCATTTCTCCCCATGTCTGAAATTCAATTGAATTATTTTTCTCCAATCTCGTTGTTTACCTCAATCAAACTGCCAAACAGGAGAATTTTCATTTCTACCTTCTTTTTTCTCCAAGTCACTGGATTCAAACTTCAGTTACATTGATAGATTCCGAATGTTAAGCGATCGAATGTGTTGGAAATGAAACATGCAGGGCTAAACCAGGAGAGGTCAAATTATTATTATTCCAAATTGTACTTAAATGGGAATACATGGACTAAACTGTGTAAAAGTCTGGCACATAAAAGCACAAAATTACAACTTGTCCTTCTATGTTGAAGTTTCAAGTTTGTTTCTTATTACATTTTCTTTTCAGCTTTTTCAGTGTTGAGTTGTTTGCTTAGAATGGGGATATGAATTAATTCTTCATCGATTCTCGAGTTGTTTGCCTCGAAGTTTAGGGTATCGTAGTTCTGGTGGATATTACCCACATACGTGTAGGATTTGTGTAATATGTTTGATATCTTTTCGGTTTAAGGGTGTATTGATTTTACATTCAATTTTTGCTCATTTAGGTCTATGCTAAAAGATTGTTGTTAAATATCTAATGTTCTATCTCTACCTTTGGTCTTCTGAATTGCTTGGTGCTAGGTGTTTTTGCTGCTTTTGGAAGGTATGAGTTTCAAAAATTCTGAAGATTTGAGAAGACAAAAGTATGACAGACTAAGTGCTTTACCAGATGCTGTCTTATGCCACATCCTTTCATTTCTCCCAATGAAATATGTCGTTGCAACCTCCATTTTATCTACCAGATGGAAATACCTCTACATGTCTGTTCCTGTGATAAAACTTGATGACACTGTACATTCTCAAGAAGAAGAATCGCAGGACAACATCAGAAGCGACAGTTTTAGAAGATTTGCAGATAGGGTGCTTATGCTGCGAAATGCTGACATAATTCAATTTCATCTCAAATGCACAACGACTTTCGAAAGTTCAGTAATCAATGCATGGTTATGTGCTGTGCTTTTGCATAAGGTTCAGGTGCTTAATCTTTTCATGAAATATGACAATCCTAGATGTTTAACAAGTGAACTTTTCACTTGTAAAACACTTCAGTGGTTAAACCTGGATAGCTCCATTATCATCAAGCCGAAGGTAGTTCATTTACCAAATCTGAAGATCTTACGTCTTTTCGGAGTAGAATTAATGGATGATGGTTCTATACCACAGATCCTCGCTGGTTGTCCTAAGCTTGAGCATCTGCACATGTGTGGTTGCCAATTGCATGGAATTCAAGTTCTTGATATTTCAACTCCTTCCCTGAAGAGCTTAGAATTTTTCAATTGTTACGGTGCATTCCGAGTTGTCATTGATACCCCAAATCTTGAGGACCTGTGCTATGTTGATTTTTTAAATGGAGATCCATTGGTGAAAAATCTGAAGTCATTGGTCAAAGCTTATTTGTTTCCTTACTCTGTAACTCTACAAAACACAGATGATGCATGCTTATGTGGGGGTCATGTGTCTAAGTTCCTGAATGCAATGGCTAACACCAAGTCTCTTACTCTTCTAACTGTTTGCTTGGAGGTAAGCTTTCATGCTTTTTCTATTTCTTCAGCTTTTTCAAATATTGTTAGAAATTCCGAAACTAATTCTGAGGAGTCTAATATTTTGATATCTTGTATGAAGGGTCTCCTTCATTCCGGCTGTTCAATCCCCAAATTCCAAAATTTGACCTATATGAAGCTAGTACCACGCCATAACTGTCATTGGGAATTGCTACCAATCCTACTTCACAGTACACCCAATCTAAAAACTTTGGCTCTTGATATGGTGAGTTAGGATGGGAGATGCAAAGTTTCACCTTAAGTTGCATATTAGAGTTGTTTTTCTTGTTTGGATATCAAAGTTTTCTATTACACTTGCATAGGAATTTCCAGACAACAATATTGGCCAATGGCCCAAGTTTCCTGTAACGCAGAATCAGCCCATCTGCTTGGCTCAGTACCTCAGGGCAGTGGATATTTTGATTTAGCAACTCTGTTAGGCAACCCGCTTTCTGTCTTGTGCAATGTTGCAATCCTATAAGGCTGATAAATTCATTAACTGTTGGTACGAGTGAGGCAATGGAAATGACACGTGCTTCGCCCTACCCTAGTTTATAATGCCTAGATATTGAAATGACTAGTTTGCTAAAGGAAAAAATCAATTGCCTTGTATTGACTGGTTTTGCTAGTTTATTTCCTCTTTTACTTTCTCTATCTGCTCTTGTGGAATAATGGTTTGACACTACTTTTTTTTTTCTTTTTTCTTCTGTCAGTTCAAGCTTGTATGCTGTTAAATTCAGTTCTGGATGTATGCACAGCTAATTAGTAACATTCTACTTTAGAGACACTGTTGAAGGTAGAAGAAATCGAGTAGTAGTCTTTTGGAATTATCAAGGCAAGGGCCTTCCTGAGTTCCTAGTATATGGTAAAGGAAGCAAAAGCCAAGGTCTCTTGCTCTTTTTATAGACATAAAGGAGGAGGAAATTTTAGTATGTATGAAAAGAATTTGGCAACTCTTCCTGCATCTGAATGAAGAAAGGTGAAAATTTCTGTGGGAATGGTCACTAAACGGAGTGAGTTATAATTTAGAATGAAGACAGAAAGATTTAATAGAATGGGACAAGGGCCTGAGAGGTAACTAAATTTTTTTTTTTAACCAAAAATATTGACAAAGCAGACTTTTGGGTTTTCTTGACGGCTAACATTGACACCCAAAAAAAAAAAAAAAAATTCCCAAGCATTCCATTATTTTTTTAATTAGTTAATGAAAGGAGATTAAAAAAAAAAACCTAGGAAGTATTATGTAAGATGAAATTGCCCGTGTATGCATTTGTCACTAACTTTCTCTATTTCCTTTCATCAATTTGTTCAACTTTCTCTACTGTTACATCAATCTAAGTTGTCAAGGTAATAATAGTGGATAAAATTTATAATGGTGATAATTTTATTTATGCTGTATGAGTATAAATTATTGACTAACTAATCTTTTGTATTTTGGATTTCATCTATTACTTTCCGACTTGTTCTTTATTCTTTTGGTATAACTTCACAACTTTTTTTTTTTCAAATTTTATAGACATAGAACTTTGTAGCCAAAAGTTTAGATGTATGTAAATCTCACAAAAAAATTATGCAAATTGATCATTTAAAAAGTGGTAATTTTGACATTTAAAACGTTAGAGAATCTAGTTTATGGGTCTTTATGTTATTTTCAATAGAAATGAACAACAAGCCTTCTTTTCTTACCTTAAATGCAACGCCAACGTCAGTGGCCTTGCTTAACTAGTGAAAACTGAAAAGGCCGCGAGATCGTATATAAACACTGATTCCTAATCCAAATACGAAACCTATCCTATTCTAACACTGCTCTGTCATGCAATTATCGTAGCAAGGTGAAAGGCTACAAAATGGAGGACGAAATCACAACATGGACATCATTAGCGTTATGGATTTACCTGCAGATTTGACGACAGAAATTCTACTGAGATTGCCAGTGAAATCATTGATCCGATTCAGCTGTGTTTAACAAATCCTGGTGTGCATTCATCAGAAGGCCTGAATTTGTTGCTCGGCGTCTTACCCATGCCAGCAGAGAGAATAACAAACAATAACAATACCTGCTCATCAGGCGCTTCATCGAAGACTTGAACGAAAAACGCCTTGTCATTCCATTCTAACAATGAATCGCTGGCCGTCATAGCCCCAGATTTGGAGGTTCCTACTTTCAATCATACCTTACATCAGGGCAACAAGCCCTGCTAATGTCATCTTTTGCATCATGCATCGTCATGATGATATTTATTTTTGTAATCCTGCATTACACAAATTCATCAAGCTTCCCGCTTGCCCTTTAGGGATCCCGCGTGGATGTCGCAAGATCCCCGAGCATTCAGGATTCGAGTATGATCCTTTCACTAATGATTACGAGGTTATCAGGCTAGTAACAATGACGCCTAATAAAATATGTGGATATCTGGCTTTTGTAGTCAGAGCTGATGTCTACAATCTCAGTACCAGTTCTTGGAGGGAGTTAGATACCGTTCCCCGATAGTGTTTGTACGAGAAACCATATGCTGCAGTTTCATTTGAAGGAATCCTTTGTTTCAATATCACCAATGAGGTGTTTCGAGAGAGAGAGAGTATCTCAATTTGAGCATTGGTAGTAGGGGCGAGAATAGTCTGACTGTCTTATAAGAATCCCTTACCCTTATCTCTAGCATAACAGGGTATCCCAAACTCTTTTCTCTAGCATATGATTGTAATACTTCAATGGAGGTTTGGGTGATGAAAGAATATGGTGTTAGGGAGTCTTGGACCAAGAAATTTTCCACAGCACCTCTACCAGAAATCAATCGCCAATTATCCTTTTGGAACAATGATGAGGAGCTGTTTATAGAAATCAGGAATGGAGAGTTGATCTCATGGGATCTCCGCAATGGCCAAGAGCTTCGGAAGTATCAGATGTACGAGCGACCAACTAACTATGGGTTTCCAACTTACCTAAGCGTTGTAACTTATAATGAGAGTTTGATTAATCTCAACCCTGACATGAACCATTGTGTATTACTCCCTCCGTCCCCGAAAAGTGACAAACTTTTCGAGAACTGGAGTATTTTTCAATACTAGACAAAAAGAAGAGATATCCATCTGCACTTCCTAAATTATCCCCGCCAAACTGCCCAAACTTTGCCTATAATTGGCGTGGCGAAGTTATTCAAATAATTTATGCAAACAAGTCAACAATCTGGGCCCACTATATTATTAAAGCTACACTAACTCTTTGCTTATGTTACACTGCACGTGCTAGCAAACATTCATTAGCACCGGTCACGCACTTTAAAGCGCGTCCCGGTCTTATGACAACTTGTACTAGACCCACATATTTAAAGGTAGTGCTTGAACGGTAAACTTAGAAGAAGGAGAAAAATTCATTTGCCATTTTAGGCATGTAACAAACATTTTGGGACAGATCAAAATGAAATACATGGCAGTTTCAATGGGCTGGAGAGAGTATGACATTGGGGATTGTTTACTGGAAACTTAGTAGATTATTTTGCAATTTTCTTAATTTGATATGATCCGATTTCTTTGGTCCTTAGGCTTGGCAGTTCACAGGACTAGTCTCTCCATTACACAGCGTATACCTGTTCAATGGTTTGTTTTGCAATGAAACATTCGAAAGTGATTATTAAAAAAAAAAAGTGATTAGCACCAGCTGTAGTTGTATATCATGCTTTTCTATGGTTCCACTGTTCTGTAAGTAATCTACTATCATATGTTGGCATTTTAGTTATATTTGGTTTCTGCAGATTGGTCCCTGCTCTGCATTCCTAGTTGGTAAAGGTTTTGAAATTTTTTCGATCCATTGGTTCTTTAATTTCTTGGTGTAAATTAAACCAAATTCGGGATTCTAGTTTACATTTAGACTTTCATGAATCCTTATTTCATCAGCGAATACCATTCAATCTCTGGTGACTAATAAAAAACCGCTTCTTTTTTAAGTTCTGATAGAGCTTTTAATGTGACTAAATCAGCTCTTTATCAAGTTGTTTATCTTGGTTTTAACCCAAAATCCTGATGTAAAGGAAATACTTCTCATTTTGCCTTTCTACACTTCGCCTGCCTTAGGGTCTGTTGCAACTATAGCAGTCTGAAGCTTGTCATTCATTTAGGGTGTAACTTCTGTTCTTCTGCTTCTTGATTAGTTGCTTGAACAAAAGTAGAAACAGTGGCCAACAGGTTCTTCCATCATTAATGAGAGTGTCAATTGCACCATTTTTGTGAACATCAGAACAAAGTGCTTTTATTAGATAGCAGTTCCCTTCTTCATGTCAGGCAAGGACTGTTTCCTACAGAAGCAATCTTTAATCAGTTGAGCTACATCTTCACCTCCAATTGATTGTCAACTTCCCTTGACAGGGTTTACATATGATTATCTAAATATTGGGAGCAAGGCTCAACAGACATTTGATCATCTAATTATTGGGAGCACATTTGCAATGATATTGGCTACAGCATTTTCAATCACCGAAACACTTGCAACAAATTTGTCTAGTTGGCTAGTGGCTACGATTTCTCTCGTACCTAAATATGAATTTATTAGAGGGACTTTGGAAGCCAAAGATCGGAGTTCTTCATGAAAGTCGGAGAAAATTCTTAATTTGTGATGAAAAACAAAAGTTATACTACAAAGGGGGTGATTAGTGAAGCAGCTTCCACAAATGTGATCTTCGCATTTGTGAAATGCGAGGTCTGGTACCTCGCATTTCACAAATGCGAGGTAGGTGCTTTAAAAAAAAAAGAAAAACAAGCTCGCATTCTGCGGTTGAGAGCTCAAGAGCTCGCATTTACAAAATGCGAGCTTGTTTCCTCGCATTCAAGAAATGCGAAGTACTCAAGCCTTTTTGACCGAAAATTGGATTCTGACCGCAATGTTATAACTCAAGCTTCCCTGTTCCAGCATCAGTTCAACCGGCTTCAGCCTCCAAGACACTCATCGGTTTCCCGCTTCAGCTCAATTTCGAATCTCATTTCTCAGCTGTTACCCATCAATTCATAGCCTTTGCCGCTTCACCACACTCTTCGCCGCCTCATTTCTCCGCTGCTATCCAGCTCAGATTATACCAGGTTTGTTTATCCTTGTTCCCTTTTTTTGTTTAAGTTACTCAAGCTTGTTGATTACTGGCTTTTGGTTGCCCTTCCGTCCCCTCGGCCCTCTGTATAATGAATATGTACTGCTGTAATTTCTGGGCGTATGATCCGAGCTCGAATCTATAAAACCCAGAATGATCCGACCTCGGATCGTTTGAAACGCCAAAAATTAAAACAAGGGATCCGAGCTCGGATCGTACAAGTTCCTGTTTATCCGAGACCTCGGATAAACTTCTGGTATAGTGGATCCCAGCCATGTCGGATCCGAGGAATTTATTAACAGATACGACCTCGGATCTATTTTGGTGTTGGTACTAAACAGCTAAATTCCGGAGGC